TGTTCATTTGTCCAGCAACAGGGACATTTACGGGGAAATTGGTCAACTATTGAGTAAGAGTGATGAAATGTAATCCTTTATCAATGTACGTCCACTAAAAGTTTGTTTCTTCATTATAAAAAGAATCCTACAGAGAAATAACCTTGGTTTGAATCAGTTACATAAATATTGACGATGTAGCATTAGCTCCAGGATTAGCCTGATGCTCACCTTGTCTCTGAGTTCACAGAGCTGCAGTGCATTCTGGGAGACGGCCTGCTGCAGCTGTGCAGAGTCCTGCAGAGCTTTGGTGAGCTCTGACTCCAGAGCACAAACACACGCTGCCAACTAACACAAAACACACATTAACTACACACTACGACCCACAGCACATCACGATAAGCAGTGTGTTACAGAGCTGTGTTTACCTTGTTTTTCTCGTGGGCAGTGAACGCCTCCTTCCTCTGGCTCTCCTCCAGCAGGTCTGAGAGCTGCTGCTGAAGATTCTCCACGTCTGAAAGGTTCTGGGAGTTTTTCTCCGACAGCATCCCGTTCTGATCCTCCAGCTGCCGGCTCTGGGAACGCAGCTCGGAAATCTGCAGGGGGGGAAAATGAACCGCTTTTAAATAAAGATGCTGGATTATAGCTTAAAACATTATTACTATTATTAAGGTCAGTATTGAGATCTAATAATTTTTTGCTATAACTGAAATGCATTTGTTGGTTTTATTTATTTTTCTTGAACTTTAAAATGTAATTCCAATAGGGATGGGTATCATTAAGGTTTTAACGGTACTACTACTTTTATCGATACCGCTTATCGATCCGGTCTTTTAACGGTACTTTTAACGGTTCTTTTGAAAAAGGTAAATTAACTGTGAACAAAATTAACATTGCTTTTTATTTCAATTAAATAAATAATATTTCACATCAAAAGAAACAACACTGTTTAACAAATCATATTAAATAATGTCATGACAGAACTGTAAACAGAATTAACATTGCTTTTTATTTTAAAATATATAAATAATATTTCACATCAAAAGAAACAGCACCAGGGTTGTTTCATTGTAGCTGAAACTTTAACAGACAGTCGAACCCGGTGCATTTTCTCCGTCTGAATGTTGTGCACTTTTGCAAGATGTTTAGACAAATTGCTTGTGTAACCGCCCTTACATGCTAAACTCTTATTGCACTTTTGGTAACGAGCATTGTCCTCATCGAGACGGTTAAGTTTAACCACACCACGCGTTCTCTCCGCCATCTCCTCCGTGTGTGTGTGTTGCATGCATGTAGCAGCTGCGTGTGTGTAAACTGCCCCGCCCCCTCGCAAGCAGTCGGGCGGGAGAGATCTCTCGTCTGGATTGGAAAGATCGAAGATACATCATAGATGCATTTGTTTGTCTTTTTGCATATTAGAAACGGAGTTGGGGAAACTAAAACTAATATAATGTTTGTGTAGCAATAATACATGACATATGTTTTAAATGTCTTCAGTACCGATGAAAAGACCGTTAACGTCGGAGCTTACCACGGTCTTTAATAATTCAGCCCCGGAGCCCACCCCGGAGCTCGGTACCCATCCCTACATTCAACTAAAATTAGATTAAAAAATAAATAAAAATATATAAATACATTTAGTAAAAGTTAATAGTCAAATAAAAAAAGTTAACATTTTTTAAACACATTTAGTAAATAATATACAAATAAATAGAAATATATAACTTGTTTACAGTATTTTCTTTTAACTTTTTTTAATCCAAACAAAAAGTGTTAAATAAATATAGTGAAAAATATGAAAATAAATAAACATAAATTAGAGTGTGTATAAATAGATTAAACACAAGTCCAATAATATACAATCTTAACATTTATTTAAAATGTAGACAAATTATATTCAAGTTATTCCAATTAACAAATATTTTTGATAATTTGTGTTCATTCTTCATGCAAATACGTCTTTAAATTATGTTTTAAAGCTTTTAAAAAATAAAGAAATATGCTGCTTTTTCTCTGTTTTAAATCATTTCATACCCGTCTCTGGAAAGCCTCCGCTGTAGTTTGAGCTTCAGTCTTCCCTTTCTTTAAGTGCTCCATTGTTTGTCTAAAATCAAACATGAGAATAAAGTGTCATTTCACAACAATTCAAACGGGTAAATATCAAATATGAGTTCAAAATAAAATGTTGCTTATACTTTAACTCTTCCTGGACTTCTTTTAAATCCTCGTCCTTCAGCGCAGCGATCTTCTGACGCAGGACCCCGTTTTCCTCAGAGAGGCGACCGGCTTCAGATCTACAGACGCACACAAATATGTTACAACACAAGAAACTACAGCTCACCTATAACTGTAACAGAGAAAACAGTTGTATGACATTACTGGATATTCATTTAAATTAGTGACCGACCGATTAACTCCATTTTGAGATGATGGGTGATTATTTATGCAACTTGCACATTTTTATAGTCTCTCAGAAACCAGGAGATGCTGATTATTGCCGTTGTTAATTGCACAAAAACTAAAAAAATGTATTCTTTCAATTTGATTTCCACAAAGTTTAGTTTCTTCAAAATCTCTGGACTTGTGCTCGGCAACATGTCCATAATATTCTTTCCTGATATCGCCAACTTTTATATCTGGATAGCTTTGTTTTCTGCAGTCAATAGAGTGCTACAGTGACGCGTCCTAAAACCCGGAAGTAAGTTAGCATGTTACCACTTCCGGTTCCTTCGCCAAAAAGCAACGCAATTTCTCCATAGGATTTAGGATAATAGCTGGAAATAAGGTCTGTGGTTGAGACACATTGAAGAGACGGATCACGTTTTGTTCTACGACATTAAATCCATCAGCAGTGACCCCACTGGTGATTTTTGAAGAGTTTACGTGTCTGAAAAACGATTACCGAGTGGCTGAATAGGACTACAGAAGTTGTGGAGGCCGTTGTACGTCATTACGCCGAACACGTAAACACTCCTCTAAGTTCGTTGTTCCCCGTGTTCTGCTTGAAAGCAAGTACCTACCTCCTGCAAACTGTTCAAACAAACGCTTCAACTTCTACCATTTAGAATCTGTATGTTTGAATATGGATCTTAAGTTGGCGTGACGTTGAAGCAGCGATCCTGCTGTAGTTTGTTTATAGCATAACGTTAGCATTTTGCTTCTGGCGACTAGATTTATGATTAGAAAATTATAAAAGTAGGGTAGACATGTGGAGATTATCCGGCTGAACAAAACGTGATCCGTCTCTTAAATGTGTTTCAACCACAGACCTTATTTCCAGCTATTTTCCAAAATCCTATGGAGAAATTGCATTGCTTTTTTGTCGAAGGAACCGGAAGGAGTTTACTTCGGGGTTTTAGGACGCGTCACTTTGGC